AACAGAAAATCTTAGCTTCAAAAATTTTATTCTAAATTTGAACAAAACAAAAATACAGAAAAGGCACATGGTACATTTATTTCCTGTTTTATGTACATATTTTATGCAATATTAAACCTTTTGGTGCAACTGTTCTCTTTTAAAAACAATACTATTATAAATTTAGAGTAGCTGGTTAGTAAATCGGGTTATTGGCAGAGATCATACGCCTTCTTTCTGCTGCCTACACTGCAAAAAAATGAAATCTAAATAAGTCATTTCTTTTTAAAATAAGTGCATTTTTTCTTGAATTAATGATTTAAGTGAGACATTTTGCCAATGGAACAAGACAATTTACGCTTAAAATAAGAAAAAACAATTATATTGTCTTATTTCAAGTGCATTTTATCTAGATACCTTATTTTAAGAGTAAAAACACTCATTCCATTGGCAAATCATCTTATTTACCTGCTCAAATTAAGGGTAAATACACTTAATTTAAGAAATTTTTACTCATTTTGAGGTCATTTTTGCAGTGTAACAGACATACCATCCATTTAAATGTGTTACCTTTATAGGAGTTACCAGCATTGCTCGGTTCTCCTCTTAGAAGACAAAAACTCTTAAAACTTCCTTAGTCAAAACATTATAAGGATCCAATTTTTAAAGGCTGTGGTCGGAAATTTTACATTTCTCATCTCTCATATATTTAGTTATGCTGTTTATCCAGTGAAAAATGTTTTTACTCAGTTTGTTTCACCTGCAAGGCTGAGAAAATGTCTGAGTGAGGGGTGGTTTTAGACAAAACGTACTTATCCCCACGAAAAGCCAAATTGTTTCTCAAGGTTTGTTAAAGTGTGTGTAATTTGTTTTTTACTCCGAGACAACCTTCAGAGTTTTTTCATCAACATAAGTAAGGGAGACAAACTCTGTCTAGTCCGAACAGGGCTGATTACTGTGCCGTAAGGGCTGTATGATGAACTGTAAGAAAAAAACGTGCCGACTGACTGGAATCCATCGGTGTTCGTTTATTTAACTAGGGTCAATAGTTGAATACTTTATTCCCACTACAAAATGATTTCTTTGTTGTTTTGAAACCATAACATTTTTCACAACATTAATAAACCAGCAGTTGGATCCTTGCTTGTCAATGTATTATTTGTTTTTATACAAAAAATAAAATGTGTGACTGTGTAAAGTGTGAGTATGGCTACCAAGGTCCAACCACATGTACGTTCAAAATGCTGTGTCTCCCCTTGACAGCTTGAAGTAACTTTTCAAAGCTATAATATACTGTTACGGCTGTCGCCGTCATATTTGTGTTTTCCCTTTTATTTTATTTTTTTTCCGCTTTTGCTCATCTCTTATGTAAGCTGCATGGCCCTGTGGAAAGACCCGCCTACTTCCTGGTTTCTGGGGATCTGACTTCAGTCCCATCCATTGGTTCCCTCAGTTAAAGAAAGAAAAGAAAAAAAAGGGAAAACACAAATATGATGGCGACAACCGTAACATATACCTAAATATCAGGAAGAAACCAATCGGTATAAAATATCTAAAACGTTTGCAAAAATAAAAAATAAAAAAAAGTTCAATGTGTGTATGGATCAAGTTGAAATTTTATAGACAGTACTTTTATTTTGTTTTACAAACCGAATTTCCATGACAGTAGGAGCCTCAGAAAGATTGCCACGCTTCATCTTGAGGAACAAAAAGATAAAACTGTTTCTGTTTGCCGGAAACAATTCTTACGCCAGACAATAAATGTATCAAATATGGATTTGTGGATGTAAAGAAAAAAAAAAAAAAAAACCCTCTCCTGCCTGACCTCTGGCCTGGACTCGACACCCCCTTTATCAATGCCAGCAGCAGCTAAAAGGGACAGTGATGAAACTGAACAGCCAGCAGTTCACGCTCCCTTCTTCTAACCTGTATGTCACACAATAAGGGACCTGTCTTGCTTAAGGAGGAGGAGGAGACCCCCATCATGTTGCCTTACCAACAAGCATCTATTCCAGCCTGAATCCGATCCCCCCTCCTTTAAAGCCCTAACTGGACTCCTCTGCCACCGCCTTGCGGTGAACGAGGGCGTAAACAGTAATTGCTACATAAATTATGTTGCTCTCACTGTGTTTTTCACTTTCCCCCCTTGGCGCTCTTGATGACATGCTGATATACTGTAGTGGGACTACATGCTGATGAGTGTGGCTGTAAAAAAAAGAAAAAGGAAAAAAAGAAGTTGGGTCATAAATCTCTATAGCGCTTATATTTGTGGATAGAAAGACAGGACTGTTGTATGTATACTACATTTAAAACGTACGCAGATGATTGACAGCTATTAATCCACAGAGCGCATTCATCAATAAAAAATGGACTGTGACACATCCACTCAAATGTTCTTGTGCTACCAGCATCCCTTCATCGATGCTGGTGTGAATCAAAAGATTAATTAATAGGCTGGTCAAACGCGCTCATAAATAAATGCTGAAGAGGTAGGAGCAAAGGAAGCGAGGGCCGATGGGTGTTACAGTGATTTCCAGGAATTTCCAGCATTGATGGGTCAGGCTGACAAAAAAATTAAACCCAACTAAATTGCACCCAAATCTTCTGGGGTTATTTGTTTGTCCCATGAAAAAAAAAAGTAAAAAGGAAATTAATAGAAGTAGCAGAACAGACTCTGCTTACAGAGTACACACACAGCTTTTTATGAGTCCATCTACAAATAATCTGCAGCCTTTTCAAGAGATTAATCCCTAAATGCCATGCAGTAATCCCTCTGTGACTTTGTTTCTGCTTTAAAATAATTGTGTGAAAATATCCTGATGACACTGATTTGGTATTTCAGAGGAAAGATTTGACACAATGATAAAGAAAATGAGAAAAAGAATTTGGCCAGGCTTATGCATAATCTGTGCTGAAGTTTGAAGTGTGTGCTTGTGAGTGTGTGTGTGGAGGGATAATAATCTGACGATTTAAGAAAAGCATGAAACAGCGAGAAAACATCTAAGAGAGGGATCCAACTCCGGCCACGGACACAGTTCATTTCCGATCGGTCCCCTGAGCAGGGCCTCTTAATGTCCCGTGTTATCAGAGTGAATCAGCAGCACTGATAAATTAGCCCCCACTTCACAAACACACCCCGAAAGGCCCGTCAGCTAATGTGCACGCCCGCGTTTGTGCGACGCTCATATGCAATGCTTAATGTTGTGGAACCAATTCTGCCGTTTCCATTATGTAAATACATTTGCCTCGGCACTATATTTTATGTATTGTCTCCCTTGTCTCAATTACTTGGGCTATTAAAAATCAAGAGGTTATGGAAATGAAGTTTGTGGTCGTCTGTTTTGCACTTTGATGACAAGCAAAAAGTGTTAATGGAAGCTCGTTATGCGTTCAGTCGCTGTCGGATACGTCAACGTGCTCCGAGCTTCCGTCCACGTTCTAACGTGTAAATGGGGCTGCACATCAGCATCTTCCAGCACAAACAGAACACACACTTTTCATGTTTTCATTGCTGATACATAAAACTAAATACAACTAAATGTGCTGCAGCTGTTTTTCTTTAAATCTCCCCTTATTCTTTTATTAGAGGTCCTTAAAGAAGACAAAATAGGCAGAATAAACAATCATTTAGTGTGATGCATTAGCATGAATCGGCTTTTGACATCTTAATGGTAATTGCTAAAATGCTTTAGGAAATAACTATCCATATGCTGCAGGATAGGAGCTTTCATTGATGATTCTTTCGAAAAATGTCATCCCGATATTTTTCTTTTATTTTTTTGGCTGTGAAATGAAATAATGCTCAAATTATCCAACAATCACAGATTGATCTGGAAAGTGGATGGATGGCAAAGTGTGGTCAATTCTGCAAATAAAAAAAGAAAGCTTGGTGTCTCTCATGCTGAGGTATAAATGTTTGTCAGACAGAAGGGCTTGGATTTGTGAAGTTTTTATTATTGTTGCTTGTAAGTGTTAGTCTGTTTGATATAATATCATCTGCAAAGACGGCATAAAACTGCACAGGGGGATTTGTTTACCATGATCCCCCGTCAGCATCCATTACAGTGCCGGCTGCCACATTGGGAGAAAAAGTCAGTGAAATCAGCATGCTTTTCCTGCTTCCATTATAGATCCAACTGATTGTTTTACACTTTGTCGTTTGCTTATACTACTGTGTGCAGATGGCTCCATTTGGGACTCATTTAAATGCACTAAAACTGATTAAAGAATTTCTAATTTAACAGAAACCTAAATGTATAATAACAATAAAAGTATATATTTATTTTTTTACCTAAACATGTATTATTTTTGCTGCTTTTTCCAGCAGTTCTTAATAGATTGTCTAACATGTGACTTTTTCATTGCTCAGACCTAAAGAAAGTGCTAAACTCATGAAGCAGTGAGGAGAAATACACTTTATAAAAGAGACAGGAGTGCAGAGGGGAACCCATTAGGAAAATTATTAGGATTATCCCTGCAATCTTTCTGCGAGATCTAAATATAGTTTGCACAAATATCTTTTTTTTTCTCCCCCTTTTTAATAAAGTGCAGTGTAATCACTGGGCATTATGTAGAAGTGATTAAAAAGTATACTGGCCTGAGAGAAATTAAGCAAACTAGATCATACTAAATATTTTAGCATTTGCTGTAAGGAAGGAAAGCCAGGATTTTGTTGCGTAAAGATAAAAGTGAAACCCCATTATAAAAGAAAAATCTAATAATTTCTTATCCAATTTGGATTTTAGTGCTTTTACCAAAAAGTAATAATAATAAAGTACAACTTAAGAGGAAATAGACAATATGTTTCACTGAAACAAACTGAGCGTTTTATTTCTGACTTCAACGAGGTGAATTTGTTCGCTTTTAGAACAAAAAAGCCACTTTTCACCGCGGATAGTTGCGGAGCGCAGCGCAGAGGCGAGCGATGCGCGCGCCTATCCGCCACGTTGCGCACGGCCTCCCCTTTAATCTAAATGAGGGGGTAAAACGGGAAGAATAAGGGGCTTCAAAAGTTGCCGTACCTCTCCTCTTGGATCGCCTCCTCCTCCTCCGCTTCAGTTTGCATCTAACCTGGCCGCTCGGAGCGCCCGAGCCGCGGCTGCTGTTTCCAAGCACGGATGCCATCGGCGCAGCAGCGGAGCGCAGAAGCAACTTGGTGCCGACTCTCCTTCGCACTTGCCTCGTCAGTCTCTCCGAACAGCGCTGCGTCCTCTCTTCTTCCTCTCTCTTTGTGTTTATAAAGATCAAGGCTCTCTCTTTTTTTTCTGTGTGAATATTATCACCGGGGAGCGTCTCAGCGTAGAAAGTCCAGCACGTCTCCGGCGCTCGGATGTAAACCTCTGCTGTCAGCGCAGCCTGGCAGCTCTCTGTCTGTCTGCTCCGCTCCTCTCCGCCCCTGCACTAGTTTTTTTTTTTTTTTTTTTTTTGGCATCAGCCACTTTGGGCTCAATCATGCAGGACGCCTATCTATTTGCTGCCGAGATTTCTAATTAGGGTCCAATCGCGGCTGTTGGAGGGGGTGTGACATCAGCAGCGACACCCACCAGCTCACACACCCCTTGCTCACCCACCATGGGTATTTTTTAGGCTGCTTAGACTCGCACCTCACACTTTACTTGTTCTGTTTTTTATTTCCTCATTTCCCAAAAAAAGCCAGCCTCGAAGTTTGGTGATGTTTTGCATTTCATTTCTCCAACTCTCCCCTGTGTGCCATCCTGCAGAGGAAACTTTACTGCAGGGCGAAAAAGACCAAGATGCTTTTTAGAATGCAGATAAGAAAAAGAACAGAAAACTCTCTGCAGCCTTGTCTTACATTTAGCATACTCATGCTTTGCCGTCTCTGCTTGTAGAAATTAGTTTTTCTGCTAAAGGATTTATGATTTTCTTTTGAGAATAATGTAAAATTAATTATCACTCTTAAAAAAAAAAATCAGTAAAATAGAACTTTTCTTACCATTAAAAAATCTGAAAAGTGTGGCATGCATGTATATTTAGCTCCTTTTGTCTTGATTGTTTTAAAAGATCTGACCCACATGCAGAGAACCACTCAGATCCAGGGAAAAAGTTAAACAGGTTTATTGAGGGAATGAGTACAGGAGTTGGATCTGGAACTCTGTGAACTGGTGAACCGGAACTGGAAAGTCTGGAGGGGAGATCACAGTGATCAGTTCAGGGACCGTAGGAAAGTTGACTGAAGCTGGAATACGGTTGGAGTGGGACTCACGTTTGAGGGGGTTCTCCAGTCTGTGTGGGTTTATCCAGAGAAGATGGAACTTGGAGAGCGGGCAGGTAGACATTTGTTGGACCCGGAGAGGCAATGGAGCGGGCTGGCACTTGAACCTGTTCAGTGTGAACTCAGTTAATCCTTCCAGGGGAAGAAGGCCAGGCATCCAGTTACACAGGAAGGCTTCCTGCCGAAGAGCAAAGACAAAAA